AAAGAACATAAAGATATATCAAAAAATCGAATTCGAAAAATTTTGGTATTACAATACTTCCTCTATGAAGAAGTGATAATTAAGTAATTTTTTTTAATTAAAGCTTCAAGTCTATACTTTAATAATAAAATAAAGGGATTGCTAAAAATTGAAATTTTAAAATTGTTATTAACAATTCTTTAAAACAATTGCAAATTCAAGAATGTTCTCAATATTTTGGGAAAATTAAATTACCCTGTATTGATGTGCAAAACTCCAAGTATTAATATTATAAAAATTTCGCCTGTATTTTAACAGAAAAATCTACACAATTTCTATAATATAGAAGGTTACTGATTTTTCTTTTTTTAAATTAATCCTTGGAGTTTGTACATAATTTTTCAAGTCATTTGATCAATATTTTATTTAGATATTTTTAAAAAATGATAATTTTTAATGTTTTACAAAAATTGTAATGACTTCTAAAATACTGAATGCTTTTTAATGATTTTAGGCTTATTTTAAAGGTGATTTTCTCCAGAATGAGAATTTTTTATAGGCATTAACGTGTAATTTTTTATAAAAAATTCAATTCGTCAAACTTAGATTAAAAAAATTTTAAAACAATCTTATTAACAGAAAAATAATTTTTAAAATATAAACATATGTTTTTATTAAATTAAGATTTAATTTAAGGTTACATTAGGGTTTTATTTTGTGTGGTAAAAGACCAGGAGTGGGCGCGCAACGCGCGCCCTTTTGGTTCTAGTGATTTGTAAAAAAATTTCATTCACAGTCAAAAATAACACCAAAATGGAATATTTTAATCCTTTCTGGTTTTAATTTAATGCTAGATGGATTAAAGTGTTGCCGGTTATTTTAATTTATTCTGGTGTTATTTTAACACCTCACGATTTGCTGTGAATTAAATTTTATTTAATAAAGTAGAAATTATTCTCACAGTGGGGAAAGAAGAAGGGGATTTCTTTTTCTGACTCCACGCGATTATTACTTCCGTGAACAGCGTTTTGTAATTCATCATCACTCCTTCCAAATTGTGCGCGAATACTGTCGGGAAAATATAACTTTGCTTGCATTACCTAGGAAATAATTTTTACTATCATCATTATTATTTGCTAGCTTTTGGGAATGTTTACTTAGGCTACATATTTTGTTTAGACTAACATATTAATTTGCTTTAGAGAAATTTTATTTTTGTGGGAAGTACTATAAAATTGGAAAGAATATTTTTTAAAGAATATTATTAAGAACTCAAACTACAATAGTAGTTTTTGTAGAAACTACAATAATAGTTTCAAAACTATTATTACAGTTATAAGTAGACAATTAGTTTTTATCAGTAATTCAAAACCTTTAGTTGAAAGAATCCATTAGATAAAACTATTCTGATACTATACTAACTTGTTTATTGACACTGAAAAATATTATGTAAAAACATTATACTTGTATTATTATAATAAAAAAACAATCATTTTTGAGAACCTTCAGTAAATTTAAAATAATAATTAGTTCCACTATTATTAGTACATCTACACAAGCTTGCAAAAAAATTTTTTTATTGTCTGAGATCGAGAACTAATTTACCGTAATTCTTTGTGCACTGAATCTGAATCTGGCAACGAAAACCTCCCATCACGTCAGGATTTTGGGAAAAGTGGAGGTAAAATTTCCAAAAATCACGTTTTTGGCAGTTTTTTGGAAATTTCTACAGGGTAAATCCAACCTAATAGAGATTTGTTATAGGAGTCAAATTAAAGCTTATGGTAACAAAATTGTTTCGAATAAGTGTTAAGATAAGTTCTTAAAAATTTCAATTTGTACCCAATATTTTGTGAAATGCAGACACACATACATCTGGACATTTGCTCAGAATTTCATATACATGTATTTTAGATGAAAATGAGTCCATAAGCTTCTTTTGAAAAATTGAAAATCGTTACGAATGCAAAGCTTCCTCATGAGGAAGCAAAACATGATTGGATTCGATTAGAATTTGTTACTTGGGAGTTTTCAGGATCTCCGATTACGAATATTATGATGTCAAAATAATTTTGAAAATCTGCCATCACATTCGTAAACAGAGACCTCGGAAACTCCCGAGTAACAAATTCTAAGTGAATCCAGTCATTTTTTTAAATAATTGTCTTACGGACAGTGTGAGTAAAATTTTATAATTGACTACTGTCGAGAACGTTAATTTTGACAGCTAATTTCGTTTGTTGTTGTCAATATTGCTATATCTTCGTAAAGTACAGGATTCAAGCTTTAATTTAACTCCTATAATAAGTATCAAGCGCGTCAGATTTAGGTCAGTATTTAGGTATTTGTGGTAGAAATTTTCAAAAACTGCCAAAAACGTGATTTTTGCGACTTTTACCCCCACTTTTCTCAAAATCCTGAAGTGATGGAAGGTTTTCGTCCCTAGATTCGTATTCAACTCACCAAAAACTAAGGGAAATGACTTCTCATTCTCAGACAACGAAAAAAAATTTCTTTTTGATGCTATTATTAGTACTATCACATTACTTGAGTTACCATCAGTATTACCAAAGAAAGTACCAAAGAAAATAGCCATTTACGGTGGGCTTGAAACTGATTTAACCCAAAAGTCTATACACCTGGGATGTTCTTGTGAATTTTAATTCTAGAGTGTAAACAGATGGTTTTGCAACAAAAATTAAAGTAATCGCCGGAGCCCTTTTTGAGAAACTTCGATTTTTCTTTTTAAAATAACAAAAATTCAATTTCACTTCAAAAATTTTAATTTTCTTAAAACTCTTCATACAAAAGTTATAGATATTAAAAAAGGAATATTTTTTATAGAATCCTTTTTTATATAATCAATAGTTTCCTTGAAAATTTGCAAAAACTGCCTTTTATGTATCTGGATATTTCTTGTCGATTCTGGTTATACAATATGAATATAAGATTGCACAACATAAATAAAAATATTTGCCCAAAATTTTTTTACAAATTTGTATTAAAAATTTTATTTTGATAAAATGAAATTTTTTTAATAAACTATAAGAATAAAGGAGGATGTTAAAAAAGGGTCGATTTTTCCCCCGAACCGAGAAGTAAATTTCAAGTGAATCCTTATACATTTTGAGCCCAGGAATCGAGTAGTAACCTTCATTTCCCCCATACGCTCGGAAAAGTGGTGAAAATGAGGAAAAACCATGAAAAGTCCGAAAAATAAGAATTAAGTTGGAATAAGAGCAAAAGGGATAAAAACATCATAAAATATTTTAAAATATTTTCTGGTCTACAAATAACTGCCACATGCTTGGTTACTGTCGGAAAATTTATGAAAATCCCTTGAGAAATGCAACAAATTCTTTTTAAGTGGTCAGAATTGGTTTAGGGTAGAGTAAAGTTAATTTAGACTAATTACAAAACAATTTTATATCTATAATGATATCTAGACTTTTCTCTGATGTCCGAAGAATGTGTGAAAATCTCGGAAAACTCAGGAAAAGTCAAAATAATAAAAATAATCTATTTACGTTGTTTCAGAACTGACAGAAGTAATTCAAATTCATTTCTAAATTATTTTTTGGACTAGGAATAACTGTTGTGAGTTTTAATATTAACGAAAAAGTCGGAAAATATATGGAAAAATTATGAAAATTGTAACAAATTGAGATTTGGCAGTCAGAATCAACTTAGAGTTAAATAAAGTTTATGTATGGATAAATCGAAACAAAAAAAATTGTAACCAAAAATTGAGCTTTGGTAGTCAAAAACAGTTTAGACCCAGGCGCAAATTTCCCACTAGCAGGGTACCGCGCCTGTACAGACGTCGGTAAGACTGTACTGGCATGGATCCGCCTGACGACCGGAGCGGTGCAGACATTGTACTGGAACCTGACAATGTGTTGTAGTGGCTGCGCGCCTGGCTCGGTACAGATTTCCCAGATAGCAATGTGATTCCATCATGCCAGCATTATGAGCGCACGACGTGTTATGTCGTGAGGGCAACAGTGCAAACATATGCGTCCTCATATGCGTGGCATATGCATTGCATGCGTGCAGCATATGCGTGCAGCATGCGTGATATCACGTGTGTTACCTTAATGTCAATCCAAAATTTTAGCTTTTTTATCATTTTAGATGCTTTAATACCTTGTTTATTACATATTTATGGCACACTTAAATAATTATTCACTAAATTGTATTAATGTTGCTTACAGAATTTTTTAATGTGGTAGAAATTTTCTATAGCAAAGTCTACCAAATTTCGGGCTTAAATACTTTAACTAGCCATGAAATCTTATCAAAATATAAATTTAAAGATACTAATGATATATTCCATCTTAAAACATTAATAATATTATAATAATAATGGGTATACATTTATTGTAAGTCAATTGTAATTTATTACGAACAATATAATTTATTACAGTAATGTTTACAAATCTAGGTAATAATGCGTTTCTTACAGTAACAATAATTAAATAAGCAAAAAACGAATACAAATATATTTTTCAAAACAAGCAGTTTAGTATTTTAAATACAACAAATAAATAATTATATCTGTTACGTCTACATCAGTCTTCGTAGCCATTCACTTTTGATTGATAAGGAAGTTATTATAAAACATAAAAAACTAAAGATCAACTAAAACAAAATAGACTTTTAAACTTTTTTCATATTATGCAAACTATGATAGTTCTTTTTTCAATAACTTCCTAATAGTAATCTTTTAGACTAATTTTTGGACTCTCATTTTAATATGCAATAAGAATAAATAAATTTAAATATGCATTTAGTATGCAAACTATCATAGATCTTTTTTCAATAACTTTTTAATAACTACATATATTTTTTAGATTAACTTTTGGACTCTTATTTTAATAACCAATAAAAATAAATAAATTTAAATATGCATTTAGTCTGCAAACTATGATAGTTATTTTTTTAACAACTTTCTAATAAAATCTTTTAGTATTTAAGATATTTTAATTGTAATTAAAGTCTATTATAATTTATGGATTTACACATCTTTACGTCGTTTTTTCCAATAAAAAAATAAAAATTATAAAGCATCGAAGTTAGATTAAAATATTTTTGAAATTCAAAATCCTTTAAAAATTTGTTTCTTAAATTTAACATTAATAGAGAAAAATCTCTGCTTATCTCAATTTTTACATGGATATATCAACTTTTTAAAAATTGCACCTTCAAATAATATAAAAAATGAAAAATCTCTCTTAATCTATTTCACCTTTTTCGACCAAATTCTGCAATCGATCATGATCTCCTTCGTAAGATCCGTCTGTTAGATAATCACCTCCTTCATCATCTCCTTCATCATCATCTCCTTCGTAAGAACCATCTGTTTCATCTTCCTCGCTGTCCTGTGTTCGATCAGTTGTAGGATCTTCTCCATCCTCGTTTTCTTCCGAATCTTCAAAATTGTGTTCTTTCGGTCGAACACGTTCTTTACTTTTATTTTTAGGAGTACGGTTTTCCTTTTTGCAGGAGTTTCGGTATCTCTGTTTCGCCGCTCTTAAAACTTCTGTCATTTCTGACTTAAATTCAGTAAAGTTTTCCGGACCCTTAAACTGTTTACATTTATTTACCACCTCTGGAAAAAATCAAATATAAAGTTAAAAAAAGTTTTAAAGTAAATGACTATATTTAGTTATTAGATTAATTTGTCTTACGATATAAAAGCGAAGCCATTTTAGTTTCCCCGAAATTTCTTGTATCACCTGAATCACCATACCATGTGAATTTGGTCGCAAGCTCATCAGTCATACTGGATTTGAAAGCAAAGCTCAGTGCTTCTCTTAGCTTCGTACCACCATATTTCCGTAAATTTGAGTACTTTGAGAAGAAATGCGATTTTCATAAATTATTATAATTACACATTTTTTTTAATTTTGAAAATATTAATAGAAAAATCATAAAAGTTTAAAAAAAAAGTAAACAAGTTTAATTTGAAAAAAACTTAAATTGAAATTGAAAACAAAGTTTAAATTTTACAAAAATAAAAAACCTTTTTTAAGTTACTATCTTAAAATCATGGAATTTTATCAAGGTCGCCACAAATATTTAATTTTATTTTTCCCTGACTTTTCCCTGATTTCCAGACAAAATTTTCACTTTTTCCCTGACCCTAAAGAATATTCTGATTCACTCTAAAAATTATTAGATACTAAAAAAAATGTTCTATTACATTTATTTACAAATTTCTTTAATTGTAAAATTCTTCAAAAACATCAATAACTTCTTTTTTAAATAAATATTTAATCATTATTATTTTTCTGTACGAATTAAAATTCTTCAAAACATTTAAATTCAAAACTTTTTGAAATTCAACAACTTGTAATAATTTAAATTACCAAAAAAATTTTTAAAATAAGTTAAATATTTACAAAAATCTTAAAATAAACCCTTCCCAAGAATTCAATTATTTTTACAAGCAGTACAATTTCACAAAAAAATTCAATTATTCAAAAAAAGTAATAAAATTCGTTGCAATAATTCAATTATTTTCATAAATAATAATAAATCGATTATTCTTTAATTCATTTTCAAATCAATTTTTATTAGAAAATTCTAGAAAAATTCAATTATTTAAATTATAAAATAAATAATTTATTGAATAATTAAATGTTTGTTAAAATTGAATTCTCATAAAGAATTTTATTAATAAATTTTTAAATAATTGAATTCATTTGACAAATTTTAATAAATTTTTTAAGAATAATTACATTTATTAAGGAATTTAATTAAAATATTGTATACAAAATAATTAAAATCCTGCGATGAATTTTATTATTTATCAAAATAATTAAAATTTTCCTAAGAATTTTATTAAAATTTTCATAAAATAATTGAATGTCAGAGAAGAATTTTATTATTTATAAAGATACTTGGAATTTTAACAAGAATTTTTTTTTAAATTTTTGAACATAATTGGATTTCTGTAAAGAATTTTATTACTTTTGAAAATAATTTAATTGTTTCAACGAATTTTATTCAAATTTATAAAAATAACTGTATTTCTGTGAAGAATTTCATTATTTATATAAATATAATTGAATTTTTACAACGAATTTTATTCAAGTTTATAAAAATAATTGAACTTCGGTGAAGAATTTCATTATTTATAAAAATAATTGAATTCTTGAAAAGAACTATGTTACATTTTTTTAAATAATTAAATTCTTGCGACGAATTTTATAAAAATCTTTTTAAATAATTGATATTTTTCGAAAATTTTATGAAATTTTGTATTTTAAATAATTGAATTCCTGTGAAAATTTTACTACTTGTGAAAATAATAAAATTATTTCTAAGAAATTTATTAAATATTGAATAATTGAATTCCTGTGGAATTTTGACAAGAATTTTATTAAAATTTTTAAAAATAATTGAATTTCAATGAGGAATTTTATTATTTATAAAGATAATTGAAATTTTGACGAGAATTTTTAAAAAAATTTTGATCATAATTGAAATTCTGCGAAGAATTTTTGTAACTTTTGAAAATAATTGAATTTCTTTAATCATTTATAACTTTTCCAAAATCCAATTTTTATGATAGTTTTTGAAAAATTAAGTTATTTAAAAAGAAACTATTGTCAGAAATAGAAAAAACTGAAGATTTTGTATTAAAATTCGAGGTAATTTCATAATTTACTAGCCAAAAAGAAAAAAAATTCAGAGTTTTCTCATGAATTTTAAAAATTTAATTTTTCCAGTACTTTTAGTAAAAATTTCTGACTTTTCCCTGACTTCCCTGACTTCCCTGACCAATTTTACTTTCCCTGACTATTCCCTGACTTTCCTGACCTGTGGCAACCCTGAATTTATAACTCATTAGTTTTTATTTCTAATTGCTTTAAACTGAAGAATTATGTAGTGCAAATAGTAAGTATAATCAATAACAAGACATACCAACGCATTCACTTTATTGTCATCATCTTCGAATGAATTAAATTCCTCGATTGTTTTTAAGGGATATCCTTGAGGAGGTGCAAAAAGCGAATTCGACTTTACTACTTTGGAGTCTTCTTTAAGAGTACGAACGATGGGAAGGATTTCTAAATTCTGCTCTTCAACATTTCTATATAATCATATAAAAAATTATAATACTGTACAATTAATTAAATCTTCTTTAAAAAAGCTCCTTATTAATAATTAGATTATATATATATATATATATATATATATATATATATATATATATATATATATATATATATATTTGATGAGCTAATAATTGGCTTACCGTAAACGGGTTGTAATGTCGAGAAGAACGTTTTCGGGAACTAAAATGTTGCTTTCCCAAGCTGGAATTTGAAGTCCGGAATTAATGTTCACATTATCTTGAGGAAAATTGGAGTTTTGTTCCATAGCATGAAGATTTCTGTAATAACCAAAAAGATTTAAAATTAAAAAATATCTATCTTATAAATAAAGAAAAAAGCGTTTAATAATAAGTGTATCTTATTCATTATACGATTTAAAACAGTATTATTTTTTAACTAAAACAATATTGAACCTTCACCATACTCTTTTTTGAAAAAGTGTTAATTTTTATAAACAAATTGGTTAAGCTAAAAATTAATAAAATAAATTAAACTATAATACAAATAAACGATACATTTATTTAAAAAGAACAAAAATATAGTATCCTAAAATAAGTTATAATGAATATTTACTTGTTCATTTCAATAACAGGCGGGACATTTTGATTTTGGTCAGACGACTTTGGTTTATTTTTCTTGGTGCTTGTATTAGGAGCTCCGTTTTCATTGTGCAAATCAGGTAATGGTGAATTTCCATTATCTTTTGATGACTCAGAGATAGTTCCCGTTATCTTTGCATTTGAAGTTTTTGGATCTACTGGCAATGGTGATACTGTGCTCGGAGAAGTATTTTTAGGTAAAGGCAATTTTTTTGGATGTTCTAACACTTGGCTTGGTCGAGTTTTTTGCTGATTTTGCTTTATCTGAGATAAGGATTGATTACTCTTTGGTGTAGACTTTGGCTTATGCGAATCCATAAGCAATTTATCACTCGACTTCAACAATATTACAAATTTGGGATTATCTTTATAACCACTACTTAAAGCTTGTATCTCGTTGTGTACAGAGTTGAGCGATTTTCTTGGCCTTTTTCGAGACGGTTCATCCGATGAAGTCCAATATCTTCTCGGAGCAGTAACTAGTCTTCCGTTTGATGCATAGCTTGTATGTTTTGAGGGCTTGGATGATTTTTGTGGTTTGGCTCCGTGGCCTTCAAACTGCTTTTGAATCTTGGGCGCCATCCTTTTTCACTGGAAAAGAGACTCTTTTTTTAAGAAGGGAAACCTAAGTAACTTACGACAAAATAGGCATATTTTTAGGAATTTTTTTCTCAATGAAATCGTCATCAAAAATCTGTAAAGTACGTTTTATTGCATGAGTATTGATGTCTAAAATAAGTTTTTTTTATAAAATTTTATTAAAAAATGGCGGCTATACAGCATTTTATTGTAAAGCGTCTTTTTTTAGGATTTTATGGCCGGACAGCGTCTTTAATTTTTGGTCTAAAAAACGAAAATGTTGTCATTTTCTATACATCAACAACTATCGACACCTAGGATTTTTTATATTACTTACTTTTATTTTTATCAACAATTTTTTGATTCTTTTTCAAATGGGCACTTTTTTGTTCAATCACGTACCATTTCGCGAAATACCAAAATATCGAAAAAATCTTACGTAAGTCGATAGCTGTTGATGTATAGAAAATGAAAACATTTTGGTTTTTTTTGCAGATCGAAAATTAAGAACGATAGTTGTCCGGCCATGGAACCCTTAAAAAAAGACGCCTTTTAAAAAAATGATACACAACCGCCATTTTGTAATAAAATTTTTAAAAAGATATATACATATTTTGAATGTGAATACTCATATCAATCAAACGTATTTCACATATTTTTGATTACCTATTTCATTGAGCCAAAAAAAAAGAATTCCTAAAAATACGCTTATTTTTCATGAGTTACTTAAGTTTCCCACTGAAGTGTTTTTATTTTATTAAAAATATATCTGCCCAGACAGGATACAACTTTTGAAGTAATTTGTGGCATGTTTATACATGTACACATAAGAAATATTTTAATATTTTATCATTAAATCAATTACTCGTGAAAAATAACAAACTAAAAATAAATAGTACTTTTTCTTAATAATTTAAAGCACAAAATAGTATATTTCGTAACGAGTGCGAGCAGCTGTCAATTTTTGAATGAGCACTTTTTTTGCGAAGCCTCGCCTACAGTTTGTTCCAAAAAAGTGCTCGTTCAAAAAATTGGCAACTGCTAGCACTAGTTACGAACGATATTTTTCATAACAAGGTGCAAAAAAGTGCCCTTTTTTGCACCGCATTATGAAAAAGAATTATTAATCATATTTAAAAAAAAATTATATAGCTATACCCCTTGGAATGTTAACAGGACTGAGCATATCCATTCATTCGGAATTACGTTTTCCTCCAGACTTTCCCTGCTGTCCCATTTAGGTATACGGTAGCATTTAGACTTTACTCCATTGAGTGGTAGTTCATGTAATTCATTTGACAAGTTAAAGCAATGAAAATCTCCTACAGCTTGTGAAGGTATGCCAACATCATACAATTGTCGAATACCGTCAAAATATTGTACAATAAATGAAACACTGTCGTTGATAAGTATTATATTTTTTATTAATCCAATTTTATCATTCCTTGAAATGAAACAATTATTACGCGTCTGTGTGGAAAAGACACGTTTATTAATGACACATTTCTCAAACTGTATGCAATTTCGTGGAATATTATCAAGTAGAGGTCCTTTTGTATGATTCATTGACGGTACAATTTCTACTTCGTCTTGATTTGACACACTTGAAAAATCATTTAATTCAAACATTCGTTTACAAATTTGTTGAAGTGGAAGATGAGGTTTTCGTACGTATTTTCTAAAAAAAGGCATATTGTTTTCATAGCAAAATGCGCTAAAACTATCAATAGGACCAAAACGTGATGCATCTTCTACAGCATGCAACAATCCGTGAATGTTGTATGAATAAAATTTTTCTCCGTACAATCCTTCACACAAGCGAACGTAACTTTCAAGAGATGATTGACAAAAGTCGTACAAAAAATCGGGCATATTTTCAGAAGCGAGTAAACGCATCACGCAACGCAGAATCATAAAATGGAGATAATATTCTTCATCCACAATATTCAAGAAAACAGCCAAAGAAGTGTATAGCAAAAATTGACGTAATTCTGTTCCTTTGAATTGATTGTATTTCGTCATTTCTCTTGGTTGACGATTGAACTCCGAAGGACAATATTCTTTGAGCTGAATCATCCTTGAATTAAGAATTTCTAATTTTCGAACATTTAATTTACCACATGGTGGAAACGTCCCAGTTACATGTGCATGAATCACCTTCTTTACATTTCCGAGATAGACTAGATGCAAGACTTCAAATGGCACATCGGTAACCAAATCGATTGGTAAACGTGATAGGGGACTTGGACCACGATGATGATCTTCATCACTACAGTTTCTGTATTGATCATTTGTACGTGGTTGGTTTCGAATATTAAGATAAAACATTTGACCATCATGAAATCCTTCAACATTACATTTCGAACAAGGAAAATATGAGTTGTGTCCAAAGTGATTTAATACCAAAGCGCGAGCTGGAGCATCTGCAATAAAACATCTTATTCGTAAAGGAAGTCGTCGACCTTTAATTTCGATGCCACCATTTGCAATCACTTCTTCGACTTCCGTGATAAAAGGGTCATAAAAGTCGTGAGCATTTGAAGGTTTATGTCCTCCTTTGAATACACCAACTACAATCGGTCTTTTGTCAACAATATTTACTACTCGAAATTGATGAGGCCAAATTTGACAACTGTTTTCTTTATTTAACCGAGCACCATCTGTGCTAAAATCTATTAATATATATTCCGTTAATTTATTTTCATTAATTGACTCTAATTTTTTTAACAAATTGGCTTTAAAACCTATATGTAGATATTCTCTACCAGCTACCTGATGAATACGTCTACTGGCAACGAACGTTGGAGTATTTAAAACAGTTCTACTGTCTTTAGGTAAATGTAATAAATTGAATGGTTCCTCTCTTAAAGTTTGTAATATTTTATTTCCTTGTTGATGTGTCAAACCAGCATTCAAAAATGCATTTTTCAATTTTCTTCTTGAAATTGTTGCAATGTCTTCATCCACTGGATTTTGGCTATCTAAACTGCTGTTATCGCTTTCATCATTATCATCAGCATTATCTTCATTATCATCATCACTATCTTCTTTCGATTGTTCTTCGTGAGAGGATGCAGTTGCTGTATCAGATAAATCTGTAACGTCCAATAAATTTTGCTCATCATCTGAAATTTCGGAAGAAGCTTCTGCAATTGGCACTTCAGCAATTTCTCCATCTTCCAAAGAAGGTTCAATTAACGATCTCCCTGAAGTTGAGGAATTTGAGCTATCATCATTACCGTTATGAATAGAGTCTCGCAGTGCAGAAATACGTCTTCTCTTTTGTCTCAAAGACAAATCCTCAAAATTCTTGTCAAATTTTCGAGACATTTCGGAACTCAAATGTTTTTTAAATTCAGCATTCGAACCTTTGCACTAAAAAAATACATTATAATAATCGTAAGTTTCCTTTCCGTTAGCAAATTATCTGCATTCATTTGTTTGTTTTGAAAATTAATTTTTGTGGGTTAAGTATTGGCATTTTTTATATTTTTAAATGTCAAATTTTTCAATGTTTATGTTATTATTGTGCCTTGCTGACAGATTGGAAAAAATATAGTAAAAACTTGAAGATTGTTTGAAAATTTTGTGAAGACTGTGTATATATCAAGTAATAATGAAAATATTTATAAACATTAAAATAATATAAATAAACCATTTTTTAAAGATAAATTATAATTTTTTTTCTTTACGTTTTTATGATTATAATAATAAATGTAATAATTATTAATTACTAAAGTAATTGTTACTGTTCCATTTATTATTTTGCAAATCAAAAAATTTTATATTTTCAAATATAAACATTAATTTTTTAATTTCAGATTAACTACCTACATAATTAATTATTCTTGTTTATTATTTTCAAAAATGTTAATAACAGTTTTCGAAAGAATTAAATTATTTTAAAAAAATTTTAATAAAACATTCTTTGGAAAGAATTGAATTATTTAAAAAAATTTTTTATAAAAATCAAATGACTAACTATTTCCAAATTTCTCAATAAAAAGTTTGCAAGAATTTAATCATTTTCAGTGCATTAATTTTTAAAATTAAAAACATTGAAAACTTTTACTTTCAAATTGCGAACAGATTCAAACACAGCAATATTAATTAATTTATTTTATTTTTATTTAAAAATTATAACCAAAATCTGAAGAAAGTTTTTTGACTAATTTAAAGATTACTGAAGATAAATAAGAAAAGTCTGAAGATTTGTCGTTTTAATCATCTGGCAGTACTGTTATTGTGTTTGATTCAATTTTTAGCTTTACAACTATCATTCACTCTAAAGGTAAATACTTTTCTATAATTTAATGTTAACATTATTTCAATATATTGAAAAAAGGTATTTGATATCATTTACATTCAATTGGATGTTATTTTCATAAATTTCTTAATTAGAGAATATTTAGTTTTTTAACTTTTTAATAATTTTTTAACTTCCAAAACTCTTTATTTTTCATAATTTGAAATTATTAATTATTAATTATTTTCATAATAATTTTAAATAATTACTATATTATTTAGGACTACAACATAAATTTAAATTATCAAAGTATATTTTATAAAATAGTAATAAATTTAATACAAGTTTTATTTTTATATTTTTTATTACATAAAAATATTGTCTAATATCATGTTTATTTTATAAACTTTTAACGTGTCTTAATTTTCAAGTTTTTAATTAATACGTGATTTATAGAATATTCAACAAATCAATGAGAATATACTGTCAATTTTTTCAATTAAAAATATATTACATCAAATACCTATTCCCAATATTTAAATAATGCTGACATTAAATTATGGACACATAGGTACCTGCCGAGGCAATAATAATTATTAAGCTAAAAATTCAATTAAACAACCAACGTATAGAATTAAAATTTAGGGGCTATCATTATAATATTATATTACATCTTGTAATTTAATAATTAATGCAAGTTGTAGTTAGTATTTATACTATATATATTTTGTTTTCCAAAGAAATTATAATTAAAAGTTGTTTAACTTTATCATTTTTCAATTAATTTAATTTTATGCAATTATAGTAGTTTCAAAAGATACGGAATTTTTTGTTTAAAAAGCTAAATGAATAATTATTTTTTTAATTTTTGGAATAATTAAAATTTTTGTAATCAAAATTATTTTGAAAATAAAAGTATAAAATATGTAACAATTTTTGCGAGATTCAATTTTCTTCGTACAACATGAGAGTTTAACAGCAGTAATTTTTTTTACAAAATTTATAGGATTCACTTAAAATACGTTTCTAATGCGTTAAATTTGACATGAAAATTTAGAAATTCAAAATAGAACTTCCATTTGTCTGACTTTCTTCTAATTTATCGGATTCAGTGATTTCTGAGGTGAATTTGTTAAATTTTTTTTGTAAACTTTAAAGTTTCAAAATAATATAAAATGAAAATTTAATTCTCTATAATTGTTAACTTTTTCCACAGTTAATTATTTCAATCTTTTTGTTAGGTAATAATAATTATTTCTTTAAACATTTTTTTAAATAAAATGGAGTTTAAATTGTTTAAAATAAGCAGTCTGATACAACATTCCCGCGCGCTTGCGCGCGGATAGTTTGGCTAGTAAATAAATAAACTGAGGTGTGCAAAAAGTTCGAATGGCCGAGTCGATCCGATCCGGCTCGAAAATACTCGATCGAGCTTCAAGCTTTTTGCACACCTGTAATTAATAAAATTTTTGAAAATTAAAAAACATTGCATGACAATCTTTTTCTATATAAATTATGGTATTCACAATGTTTTATTTTACTTTGCAAAAAAATTCTGTACAAAGTTTGTTCTTCGCTCTATTCGTAGGAGGTTATACCACTTTTTGTTTAGAATTATTAACCCATTAAGGGGAGGTTCCCATTGCGGGAATCAAAAAAATTTATTTCTTTTTTATTGTATTTTTTGAAAGCTATATATATGTAGAATATGTGCGTATAGCGATTTTTTGATCCGAAGAATATTTTCGTTTTTATGGAGACTTGAACTCACTGGCATCCCGAGCACTGAATAACAAATGTCAGGCAAATCGAATCGATTTTTAAAAATTTTGCAAATCTGACCTCAGAATCGTAAAGAGTGACCCTAAATACCTATAGATATTTATCATATACGCAAATTGAACAAAGAATTGGAAAGAATTTAATTATTGCACAAAAATGTTTCTCAAACTTTAAACGCTTTTAAACGCTTTTCTCGAAACAAGATTTTTCAAACTGGTGGGCATCGTAGCGTCTAAACTATTTAATCAATCAACTTCGGGTTTGCGGCTAATTAAAGGTAACTAAATTCTACTGGGGTTATACCTATAATATGGTAAAATTGTTAACAATAGAGATTTTTACAAGAGGTCAAATATAGAAAAATAATGCAAAAACGCAGTTTTTTTAAAAATGTATCCGCCATTTTGTCATTTTGTTAACTTTTTAACTATTTTATAGGTATAACCTATTCTTTAGGATGTCATCTTTATAAAAAATTTTGAGTTTTTGTTTTAGACTAAAAATTGCGCAGTGTAGAATGCCCACCGTTTTCCATGTTTAAAAAAACATTATTTTCCAGATGCGCCATATTGGCCGCCATTTTGCATTCTTTTTAAAATGAAATATATGTTTTAAAAGTTCAAGAATGTATCTTTATTTAGAAAAAAGAACTACATCGCTAAGTCATAGCCGCTCCTCGCAAAAAATTGTCAAAGTTTGTGTTTATTTTGGCCTTTGCAATGAGAACCTCCCCTTAATGCCCATCGATAGAGAAACGCAAATACCAAAAAGTAGCTACTGGGATCCTGGCATGTGACGATAATATTTTTCAGTAATATTTTATTTTTTCGAAAATAATGTTTATTACATTTTTTACTTTAAAGTTTCTATTTGAAGATTTTTCATTAAAACATTTAAGGGATTGATTTTATAAAATACTTTAACGAAGACCTGTAAAGTGAAGAACAGTTAAAGTAATTAATTTTTAATTAAAAAACAAAATTTATCTATAGTAAAAACAATCACACGAAATTACACGTGACTATTTTTAATACGGAATAAACTTATAAAAAAATGTAATTTTAAGAAATTTTGACATTTTTAATTTTAAGTAAAAATTGTTTCTTCTAACGAATATTTAAATATATTAATTACATATAATTAATATAGTAGACAATAAATAATTAATGGAATGTAATATACATAATTATATAATATTATAATTAATTTTAAATAAGGATCTTTAAGATTAAAAAAGTAGCTGTCGAAAAATTAAATATGACAAACTGAAAAAATCGTTTTAGTCGATTCACAAAAATCGTAAATAATTTGATTATATATTTCCCGGCGACATTTTTATCGTAACCATTTTTAACTCAATTCTTATATTAGAAAGTTTTACAAGAATCCAATTATTTAAATACAAAATTAAATAATTGATAGAATAATTGAATTTCTTTCCAGAAATTTTAATAAAACTTTTGAAAACATTTACATATTCTTTGAGAAATTTATAAAAAATGTTATTAAAAATAATTGAATTCACCTGAAAATTTTGTTATTCAATTTATTTGAATTTTCGAAAAGAATTTTATTAAGTTTTTTTTAAATAATTTAATTCTTTTTAAAAATTTTCTTGAAATAGAAGTTATTAAAAATATTTGAATTTC